AAAAAAAAAAAAAAAGTCTGTTCGACTGGCTGGTCCTTGGATGACTACTTGTCACATGCGAAACGAAAGTGTCCATCGTAACTGCACGGGAATCAAAGGAGAATTTTGAAAGAGATGGCCAGGTCTCGGCGACTCGAGACAGGACGAGAGCGAAAGCGGGCTCCTTTCGGCTTTTACCAGCCTCGCGCACGCTGTTTTGCGTTTCGTGCAGAACAGAGAAAGTAAAAGTGAGCCATCGCGCCGTTATATGTATACAGTGAGCAGGTTTCTTCCATCATTCGCTTTCGTTCTCTCTGAATGTTCGCGTTTAACGAGCGGAGTCCTTTGCATCTTTCGACCAGGTCTTTACGATCACGTTTCACTTCAACGGACGAATAATTACAAATCTCGATTTATTAGCCGAGGCGAAACTTTTTCACTTTTGCTCTCCCGCCATTTTTATTACTTGCTAGAATAAAAAGGATCATTCTTTTAGGATTCGTTCTTCCTTTGTCGAGAATTTCATGCACGTGTTGCCTATTTATTTGAATATTTATCATAATTAAAAACGGTACGTTTTATACCAAGTTTTTATACCTGTAGAAACTTTCTGTGAATTTTTATAAAATATCATGTAAAAGAATGTGATAAGCACAGAACGTTCCAAGAAATATAATGTATAATAATTATAGTATTAAATACTAAATGCTTCATTTGACTTTTACTGCTAGATACTTTTTCCTAGATTTTTTTCTAAAGTTACAGCTTTACTACCGCTAAATACTTATCTTGCAATAATTCAGTATTCGTCAAGGCCGAATTTCGTAGCCATCGTTTCGTAAGCTGGAACTGTTAAATATTTCTATTTTTCGAATGAAACACTCGAAAACTTAAAGGATTTCCATTTCTCAAGCAACTTTCATTTGCAGTTACTTACAACGAATCTTATACTTATAATTATTGAATAACGCTTTGATTTTCAACCAATTTACTAAGAGATTATTTCACATATCCATAAGTATGTTAAGTAACAGAAAAATAGTCGGTTAGATTTATTTTCCACCTCTGTTTTTGTCTGTTACATAACGTGATCGAGAATCAAGTATCATCAAACATGAAAACATATAAATCTCGATCATAGATGTCAGTAGATATAGATAGATTTCATTACGATTAAATCGCGGAATATAACAACAACAAAACAAATACATCATATCTATAACTGGCAGTATGTGAGTTTAGTAGCAAATAAATAGGGCAATGCTAAAACATAAGAAAAATAAATGAGTCGTTACTTCCTGAGAAGTTTCGACCAAGCATCGTTTTCGAGATTAAATTATTACGAGTTCAAAAGAAAAGAAGCGTGACAGTCAATAAAATTAGTCGCGAACACATAACGTGAAAGAAGATGGAAAATTGTTTACAGACAACTGTTTCGCAACTGTTTCAATTTAAACTAGAAGAAAGGAAAGTTATTTCTGCGTTTAGAGAGAAAGATTGCAACGTGATTGATAAAAAGCAAAAGTAACGAAACCAGAGAGAGAGAGAGAGAGAGAGAGAGAGAGAATACATGCTCGACGAGGATTCCAAGAAAAGTTTATTTAGTAATACGTGCCTCCAATTAAAAATCGATGATGGAAAATGCAATGCGATTCGCACGGACAAGGGAATTATTTCAGTGATACTCGGAATTTAATAACATATAAGGCAAAAGAAGCATAAGTGATAAGTTATTGTATTTTTATCAGCAGTGATAAAATATTTTTTACTTATCGTTCAAATTTCTCTAAAGTCCAGGGTCCTTTTCCATTGTTCAACTACAAAACATTGCAAAATAATAATAATTGTAGTTAAAAAGACGAATAACTCGTTAACATCAATTAAGACGTTACGTACTAGATATTTTATTGCTAATCACGCTTTGTGGCTAGCTACAGCTATTTCGATTTAATCTTCAAAAAAAATGACTGTCTGTTGCAGAAAATTTCGTTGGTAAATCGAATGGCCGACTTATCGTTTACGTTCTAAATAAAATCATCGTCGCTCGTAATTTCATCATGAAATTCTCTGTTTCCTCTTTGTTGGAAAGTAAACGTTTTAGGAGAGAGCCACTAGTTGCTCACTCACATCAGTTGGCTTGGCTGGCTGTGAAACTCTGGATATAAACTTCGGTTGGATATGATCTTTGGTACCGTTTCGTTACCTTTTGATATCGTGGGTGCCTATCGAGATTCTCGACGTCTATCACGCTATCACGCGAGAGGAAACTTGTCATCCTAAATA